CCCCAGATACACCCCTGCCTTAGTGATGGGTACTGGCTGTAGCCTGCACACACCCAACAGAACCCCCCACCACAACTTTGGCAGGGTTTTATCCAAAGGCCTTTGTCCACTGCAGCGCCACCAGTAACTAAGGGGCTCGACGCATGCTAGGTGTTCAGTAAATGTACTTGACTGAACAAATAAAACCCAGCTAGATGACCAGTTAGGGACCAAAGGCTGTCAAAGGAAAGAACGGGAGTCCAGCACTTATGGGAAACAAAGCGGACAGGGCGCACCAATGCAAATAAAGACCAGGCCAAGACACTGTCACAGACATTTCTTGGAGCAGATCTCAAGTGCCCCTCCCCCAATGACAAGGCTGAGTCTTTGGCCCCATCCTCCCTCCACTTCAGCCTGCACTGACCCTAACAATATTGAGGTCACAGACTGGCTTGGAATCATGACCAGGAAGATATATGTTGGCGTGCGTCCCCCAAAATCTGGGGGGTGGGCAAGCATCCAATCTGAGGGGCAAGCAGCTGGAAAACTGGGGGGCTCCAGGGTCTGAGGTCTCCCTGGCTCCCAGGGTTCAGCCTGCCACGGACCCCAGGTACGGGGGCAATGAAAGGGAATCATGGATCAGAGGTGGGTGTCAGCAGGGAACAGGGCTGGGGACCTGGGAGGGGGGTACCGGGAGATGGAGACTAGGGAACCTTCCCCAGTCCCCACTGCTTAACCCAAAGATCTCACAGCACCATACAGCACTCTGGTCCCCCATCCCACCCCTTCCCAAAACGAGGTAGGTTAAGAATGGAGCTTCCCCCCGCTCACCATGGAAGGGGGGAGACCGAGGCACAGAGAGGGGGATGGGGACCCAGGCTGCCCCAGCCCCCAGTCCCTCCGCCCTCAGCTCTGGTGGGTCTGACAGTGATGAGAGCTAGACAGAGTGGGGAAGGGAGGGGCACCTCCCTCTCCCCGTTTTCTCTCTCCCATCCCAGGGTCTGGCTGGGAGAGCTGAATCACAGGTTCCGGATACAATAAATAGTTAATAATTTAAAGGAAGTGACACAAATCGTAATCCCTTGAGTCCCCACAAGGCCGTCCAAGCCTGGGTAATGAGGAATGGTTGGTTAGGTGCACATTCCCAGGTACTTAGGGCCAGATGTAGGTCCTAAGCCCCATAATCCATCAAGACTGTCTTGGCTCGGAGACCTTGGTTGCCCTATCCAGGACACCAGATCCTAGGTACAGTGGACACCGCACTCTTGGGGAAAAAGAGGCTGGGGCACCCCTCTTCTCCAGGAGAAACGCGTGGGGAAATGCCATCATGAAACAGTGCTGAGCTTTCCAGAGCCATTCCCAACGGAGACAGAAGGGGTTACCAAGAGATGGATCTGAATGAACTGGGGGTTACAGCGTGGGAGATCTGCAAGGCTAGGGATGGCGGGGCCTTCAGTGGAGCAGTAGCCAGCCCCAAAGTTACTGTTGTGCAAAGTAGAGAAGAGAAGGCTTCCTCCCATGTTCCCGCTTGACCCCTGCAGTTACCTGCCTCTGCTTAGCAGACAGCTTGTAGGATCCTCTGTGGCAAAGCCAGACCCCAGAGGTGAAAGAAGGGAACTTCTAGGTGGTCCAGGATCCCAGCAATTCACACTGGTGCAAGTGTCCCCCCAGGATAAAGAGGAAATCTGGGTGTTGTTGGGGCTTTGTGGTTTTGTGGGCCTCTGGATGGCAGGACTCATGGGGGTCAAGGTGGCGAGGTATCCGAGGGCTCCATCAGTCTAAAAGTACTTTGAAGTCTAGAAAAGCTGGCATCTAAAGGTGTCAAGGCCCTGGGGCATCTTGCTTCGGAATGTCTCTGGTATAGAGGGACCAAGGTCTCAGGCCAAAAACAATCTCAAGATTGTGGGGGCTTGAATCCTGCACCCAGGGGCCGATTGGCATCTCAGAGTCTTAGACCCAGTGCTTTTGACAGCACCTTGGGGTTGCTCTAGAGCTGAGAGTCAAGGGATGAGAGGCCCGGGGTTACCATGACCACTGCATCTTCTGAGATCCAGGCTCCCACCCAGCTGGACAGGGATTAGGGAACATTGACAGAAGGAAGCTAATATTTCCAGAACATTTGGGTTCTTGAAAGTCAGGCCCCGGGGAAACTGGAAGGCTATCTAAGCACTTGAAACCAGTGCATTGGCCTCAAAGTGCTGGTGGCCTTCAGCCATACATCTGAGGGTACCAGACCATCTCAGAGACCATCCATGAGACCCAAGTTCTCAAGAACTGCTGGCTTGAGGGGCAGGTGTTCAGTTCCCGGCTCCTAGGACATCTTGGTGTCTGACATCTGGACCTTGCTGAGCTCTGAAAAGGGCCTCCCAAGCTATTTTGGTCAGAAAACACCTCTTATTTGAGGATATCTGAAGACTTAGTGCAGTTTAAATCTGGGGTATGAGGGCTACTGTGAGTCGCTTACATATGAACTGATGGTAAGATCTGTGGACTCTCAGGAGTGAGTGGACTTCAGGTCAGTGTCTGGTGATTCCAAACCATCCTGGTGTTTCCGGGTTCTGGGGCTATAAGAACATCCAGATGTAGATATATTATACCAGGTCTCAGGTGAAAATTCAGGGACCGTTTTCTGGTGATTCTGGGTCCTCTGGCCTCAAGGTCTAAGTCATTTGATAAAGGATCAGGTTTTAGCAACTCCTGACTTAATTTGGGAGCTGTGATACGAGTGTTTACAATGTCAAGTATGAGCTGGAGTCTGGGTTGGGTATTTAGATAGTCAGGGTCCAAGATCCCTGGGTCTCAGAGGTGAGAGTTCCTGGGCCCTCTGAGATGCAATGTTTGCACGAGTCTCCTCAGTGGGGAAGAGGGAGGGAGAATCCAGAATTCAGGACTCCTGGGTCCACTTGACAGACATCCTGATGACGCTGGGTCTGGGATCTTAATCCTAGGTTTGGGGTTCAGGTACCAGATCTGGGATCTCTCAAATCCATTCAAACTCCAAGTTCCAGACGTACCTAAGTTTGGGTTTTAGGTTTCGTACGGAGTTCAGGGTTCTGGGCCCTCCCATTTTTGGGTCTTCAGACCGATTTTCAAACCAGCCCAACGATCCTCACCGTGCAGCCTCCTCATGGCGACCCCCGCAGCCCGCACAGCCACATCGTGTCGCAACCCAGTGACAGGCGCGCAGGGGCGCGTAGCAACAGAGGCAGGGCACTGCCAGGGACAGCGCAGCTAGGGCAGCCCAGCGCGCAGCAGGGCGTGGGTGCCCTGGCTCACAAGCGCACGGGTCCGAGAAGTCGCCCTCGGCGTCCGACAGGCAGTGGTACAGCAAGCTCTCCGCGCACCACAGGCAGCTGAGCCTACGCACTAGCAGGCGACCTGGGTCCGGGGCCTCTGCGCAGCGACCACCGCGCCCATCCGCACGACGGCGGAAGAGTGCTCGGCAGTGCACACACCGTGCGGCCTCCTCGGCCTCCGGGGAGGCCTTGGCTGGAGCAGGGGTGGGGCCTGGACCTGGGGGTGGACAGACAGGGGGTGCTGGGGGGGCAGCCTCAGTGAGAGGAGCAGGGAGTGACACTGGGGGACCCAGTGCTGCACCCCTCAATGCACCAGTCTTGGCAAAGCCCACCACGCAGGTCGACAGGGGAAGAGGTGCCGGTAGTCCTGATCGCCGGTAGTCCTCATAGCCACGGCCGCCCCAGCCCTGGCTCCCATGCCCAGCTAGAGATTCTGAGGGTTCTGGAATCCCAGTGAACTGTAGAAGCGGAGGATAGCTCTACAAAGCCAAGGGACAAGTTGATCAGGTTAAGGACATCTGCAACTCACCAAGTCCCCATAGGCTACCCAGGTTCAGAAGACCCCAAATCCAGGATGCAGCCACAGGCATCAGCCAGGAGGGACTGTGTCCCTACAAAAACTCTCTTGGGTTCTGAGTTTAGACTTCCAGCCTATTCCTATCCAAGTCCCTCAGCCCGCAGAGACAGATGAATGTGGGCACAAGCATACACCTGAAGGACCCGTTATGGCTTAAGACTTCCCAGTTCAAGAGATGGCTCAGAGGTTAAGAGCACTGGCTGCTCATCCAGAGATCCTGAGTTCAAGTCCCAGCAACCACATGGTGGCTCACAACCATCTGTCATGAGATCTGATACCCTCTTCTGGCATGTAGGCATATATGCACACAGAGTACTGATACCTAAAAAAAAAAAAAGACTTCCCAGTTCAGTCAAACCCAACCCCCAGGCTCTCCTTCAAGATAAAGGAAACAGTCGTATGGAGTCCTTCCATGAGTTCCATCATCTTCTAACATATTTGAAAATGTGTGCGGGCTTCCTGGTACAAACTAGACAGCCCTCAAATCTCCCGGAGAGCTAGAGACACTTGGAAGATCCTACCCACTCTCAGGAGCCCAGGTGTGTCAGTCTTTCTGCCCCAGGACTGGGGTTTGAACCTAGCATCTCAGCACCTTCTACATGACATGCTAGGCAAGTGCTCTATCACTGAGCTACTCCCCCAAAGCCCAAACCCAGGCCTCTTTCTTTTTCACTACCACCTACAGCTCAGTCAAGGCTGGCCATTTCCTGAGATCTGTGTCCCTTCTCTTTCAGCTGGGCTTCAGCTCCGGTCACCTGGGAAGCCATCCATACCTGAGCAGAGGAGCGTCTCCGTTGTGGAGGCGTGGCTGGAGGGAAGGCAGATGTTGACTCCACTGTGACAATGGCAGCTGCAACAGCTGTGGGAGGAGTCTCCTGGCGGCTGTGACTGGAGGAGGAGTCGCTGTCCACGTGGGACTGAGGGAGATTGGACAGGCCTTAGTGCAGGGAGTTCTCCAACCAAAGATGCCCTTCCACAGACCTCCCTTCCATAGAGAGCAAGAGCTCTGCGATCAGGAGGCCCCGGGCTCAAACCTTTGTTCTGTCACTGACTGTGTGACAAGTGAGATCACCCTCTGAGCCTCAGTGTTCTCCTCTGTAAAATGGAGGGTCATCACAAGTACCTATTCATAAGGATTTGTTCAGGACACTGTCAAGGGTCCAGCACCTGTGTTACAGCATCCTTTATAACTGAGCCTGCTTGCAGTCCCTCACCAGTGCTTCTAGGCAACAGCTGTCCCCATGCTAGCCCCTTGCTAGTGGCTTCTGGGCAAGCATTCTGCCATTTAGTCTTATTGGTAGGTTCCACCACTCCACATCCACGACCCTTAGTTATTTAAATAAGTCTCACTTAGCCCAGGCCTCAAATTCAAGATCATTTCTCCTCCCCCCAGGAGTAGCTAGGAATACAGGTGTGTGCCACCTGACTCTGGATGTGGATATTATCTCAACCGGATTCCTAACGCCGGCTCAGATCACCCTCCTGGCCATCGACCATCCTCTCCCTCCCCCAAAACCCTCTTCCTGCCTCCTTTTCACTACAACTCAAAGGGCTCTTTTCCCTGCCCAAGCCAGGTCCCCTACCTTACTAGCTGAAGCCCCCCTTCTCACACCCTCTGTTCCCTTTTCTGGAAGTTGGACATAGCTCCCTCTTATCTGTTCACAGCCTTCAGTCTACAGCTACTGAGCCCCAGGGCATGCCAGACACAAAGGCCACTATGGCAGCTTCCGGCTTTGAAGAAGGGCCCCACAGTCAGGAGCTGTGTGTGATTGCTGGAGGGTCACCTCTGTTCCCCATGACCTTGAGAATTTCTTTGACCCAAGGAACTAGTTTTTGTTGCTCCCGGTATTCTCAGAAACTCCCAAAAGGCACCTGGCCATTTCTGTGCCTCATTTGTTATCGTTCTATCAATGAACACTTAAAGTGGACCAGGCACTGTTTTAGGGACTAGAGGTGAAACAAGGAACTAGCAAAAGATCCTTGGCCTCCAGGAAACTAACAGATAAGAAAACTGTCTTAAAGGTGGTAGTGGGGGTTAGAACCAGATAAAGGACATTGGCGATTGTCATAGGGGGGTTGGCAAGCAAAGGTTTTGTTTTTGAGACAGGTTCTCTCTATGTAACACTGGCTGTCCTAGAACTCACTCTGTAGACCAGGCTGGCCTCAAACCTACAGAGATCTACCTGCCTCTCTCTTACAAATACTGGAGTTAAAAGCATGTGTCAGCATGTCCAGCTGGGGAAAGAGTTTTATGTCTTCCAAGCCGGCCTCAAACTTGTAACATAGCCCAAGGATGACCTTGGATTTAGATACTTCTGCCTCTACCTCTCTCGTGCTGGGATTACGAATGCCAGCCCGGAGAATCCAAAGCCAGGGCTTTGTGCTTGCTAGGCAAGCCGAATCCCCAGCCTGAGAATGCTGGGGATTTTAAATAGGTTGTTCAGTGAAGCCACCAAGAAGACATTTGTACAGAGCCTCAAAAGCAATGATAAGTCAGTTGGAAATCTGAAGAAGTGTTCTAACAGAAGGGCCGCAGGACAGGAATGGATCAACCCTGTTGCAACGAGAGGGAGGAGTCTGGTCTGACTGGAACGGGGTAAGGGGAAGACCAGCCCAGGCCGAGATGGATCTCATGGGCTACCTTGAGTGGAGGAGCCCTGGGAAGGTTCTGAGTAGGGAAAGTGTATAATTTGACTCAGTCATTGATAAGAGCACCTGGGCATCCCCTCTTCCCCAAATGTGGACTTGTTCTAGGAGTCAGGAAAGTGACAACGAGAAGCTGTGGGGACTGTTGAGTTGGGAGATGAGATTGGACATTATTGAGTAGAGAGCAGACTTGATCATTTTGAAAGTAGGACCTGGGCTGGGGCTGTCACTCAGTGGTAGGGTCCTTGCCTAGCATGCACAACACCCTGAGTTTGAGCCTCAATATTGAGAAGGAAAAAAAGCGAGGGAGGAAGAAGGAAGGGATTAGAAAGAGGGCTGGAGAGATAGCTCAGCGGTTAACCCAATTCCAGGGCTATCTAACACTTTGCCAGGCCTTCTTGGGCACTAGGCATACAAATAGTTGCACAGAAATATATGTAGGCAAAGCGCGCGCGCGCACACACACACACACACACACACACACACACACACACACCTATATCTTTTTTTTAAAGAAAGAAAGAAAGCAAAACCCAGGTGGTGGTGGCGCACGCCTTTAATGCCAGTAAAAAAAAAGCCACAAGGAGGCAGAGGCAGGCGGATCTCTATGAGTTAAGACCAGCCTGGTCTACAAGAAAAAAAAGAAAGAAAGAAAGAAAGAAAGAAAGAAAGAAAGAAAGAAAGAAAGCAAAACCAATATTGTGACAGATCTATGGGAAGCAGAAAAACCACAAGAACCAGCCAGGCATGGTGACGCACACCTGTAACCCCACACTTGGGAGACGAGATGGATGGAAGGGTCATGAGGTACAGGCTAACTTCATCTCCTAATAGAACCATTGCCACAGTGTCTCATTGTCACCTCTCCACCCCCACTCCCCAAGCAGAGCCAAGAAGATTCTATGGATGGCTAAATGACATCACACCCTTCCCTCACTCAGATCCCTCTATGGCTCCATCACTCAAGGTAAAGGAAAAAGCCCTTACAGCGACACATAAGATGCCACATGAAATCAGTCCCTGGGTCATATGACCTGGGCTGTCTAAAAAAACAAAACAAAACAAAAAACCAATGATGTCGAGGATGACTCCAAGGTTACAAGCCTGCAGCTTGGGCAATAACTAGAACATAGAATTATTAATCCATAGCCAGGTGGTGGTGGCAAATGCCTTCAATCCCAGCACTCGGGAGGCAGAGGTAAGTGGATCACTGAGTTCCAGGTCTGCCTGGTCTGCAGACAGGGCTACACAGAGAATCCTTGCCTCCCCCTAGTAAACAAACAAACAAACAAATAAATAAAATCAATTCATTTGTCTGTGCATTTATTTTAATGCTTATTGCTTTTTATTATTTTTATCTTCTCCTCTGTCTTTCACAGTGGACTAAAGCATCAAGAAAAAAAAAGGGGGAGTTTGTTTTGCTTGATATATTCCTGGTGCCTAAAACACTACCTGCCTGGTGTTTTTTAAGTACCCTTGAACAAACATATGAATCACAACAAAAGAGAAAACTAAGCAAGGTGTAAGGGAGCACCATTGTAACCCCACTGTGTAAGGGGATCCAAGCTGCAGATCAGCCTAGGCCACAGAGTGAGAACCTGTACCACCATACCCCACCCTACCTCCAAAAATAGCAAGGAAAGAGGAGTGAGCAAGCAAGCCACAAATGGTGACACACACCCCAGTAATCCCAGCACTCAGGAGGAACTAAATCCAAGGTCATCCGAAGATGCATATGGAGCTTTGAGGCTAGCCTGGGCTACATTAGACCCTAACTAAAAATAAATTAATGGATACATATAAAAGTAGAGAAAAACAAGAATAACCATGGCTGAATTGCTACTATCCATTTGGGCCCTGATTTTGTGTCCCCAACATGTGGCCTTTTGCCAGCCAGCTCCACAGCAAGTATTCGGAACTATTTGTAGATTAGAACCACCTCCCCACCCCCCCATGGCAGAGCACAAC